TTGAGAGGATATAATTTTGAACAGTGGCCTCTTAAGTGTCTAGTAGCTATCATCAGTTATGTTCTAAATATGAGTGACTGGTCTCCATTTGTCCTTGGATGACTTGTGGAAAGAACAATATCAGTGTTTAGTCTTAAATCTTAATCCTGTGTTTGAATTGAGTTAGCAAAGGACTTGGTGCTTTCACAGAAAACTGTCATGAGCCTGAAGAATTCTGAGCAACTATTTATGAATTCACCTCTCTCCAAAATAACTTTATGCCTTTGTACGTAGTGCATCTGGCTTTAGGGGAGAGTCAACTTTAGTCTTCAGGAGACTGCCAGTAAACCAGTAAATCTCTGCTATGCAGGGCAGGTTCCTGTTAGCAGTCCTTAATTAGGATTTGGGCACTTTGTGTTGTAGCCTTAGACCTGTGGCTTATCCTTGCTTACCATGCAGCAACCTTGCAGGGACCATGGGAGGCCCCTGTCCTGCATATACAAGGAGCACAACCCCTGCATGTGGTCTGACTGGGGTGCAGGACCCAGAGGTTGTGATTCTTAAAGCCTGGGAGTCCTTTAGTGTTTCCAGGCATTATATGCGTTATATGCAAGTTCCTCCTTGATAAACAGTGATTCCACTGTTACCAAACCTTGACACAGTTACTTCCATGGTAAAAGTTAAAACCAAACCCAAAGAAAACCCCAGCAGCTCCATTACATAAGAAAGGTTATCTGAAGACACAGATACTGAAAGTCCCCTCTGTTCTTTTTCTGTTCCTAAGGACAATCAGCTTAATTTAACAGCTTACTATCAGTTCTGACCCATTTAAAAGGTACCTGCCAAATGAATTGTATGACAGAACATATCTGATCCAGGAACAAGGTGAAACGTTTGTATCTTATAACAAACAGCCATGGACCGAGAGCTGAGAAGAAAAAAGGAAAAGAATGGAGCCAGGTGTGAGAAACAAACCTTTTCTACGTGGCGGGGAATAGGATCTTTCTTACTAAATATTTTAAGTGGTTTTGCTCTGCTATCTGTTGGCAGCTTCACATCCTTGAATCATTTAGTCTTTCACAAGAAAGGAAGTTTGCAAGTGGTGTGTGTTCATGCATAGATCACTTTCCTTTTCTGATACTTATTCTGCCAACCACTCTTCCACCTCTCTACCAGTAAAGAGCTGAAGGCAGAGGAAGGCAGGTGGGTCAGTCTGTGTGTTACCTGCTTCTGGTGGGTGAGTGACTGCCCATCAGAAGGGAATGCCTGTTGGCCAGTGGGTTGCCCTCTGAATTTTGCAGCTGCATTTGCTATATATTGAATGTCAGCTGGGGTTTTTCGTTTGCTTTTTGAAGGGGTTGTGGTGGTGGTTTTAGACATCTGTCCTCATTAATAATTCATTTCATGATAAATTATCACACATGTGTCCAGGGATACCTGTTAGGTGATTACCTAACCTGCGATTGAGCTGCTGCTGAATTCGCAATGGGTTTAACTTCATTTTTTTTTCAATTTTTTTGCCCATAACAGCCAAAGAAATGTGTGAGAAGTGAAGAGTAACAAAGCCAGTGCACAGTTATTCCCTGCCCCATGGAGATGCACCCTTCTCTCTGTTCCTTTACCAGTTCTCTCTCCTTTCTCAGAGGCAACTAATAAATAAATGTGCACACTGACAATGGAGAAGTCACCTACTGAGTAATGATATTGGGATTGAACTTCCCAGTGCCGAGTACTGTAGACAGAGTCATTAGAACAAAAATATTTCTAACTATAGTCACTTGCAGTTCTTGACATCTTTAGGCTTTCTGAGAGATTTGTTTGTCTTTATTCCCATCTTCTGCTTCTGGGAAAACAGGCACTTGGCAATGGAGAGATGAGATGAACCACATCACACAGCTTCTTCACAGCTGTTCCTTGTAGTTTTCACATGGTAAGGGATTGTGAAGATCTTTTTATGTCCTTTATAATTTTTCTTTTCAGAAGGAAGACTTTAATTGATTCTGTTATGTCTTGGCTTTATTTGTCAGTTTGCAGGAAATCCTTGGTGCTTTTGTACATAAATTCCAGTTGGTACTAAAGTTAGTCACATTCCTGCTGCTGGTTTACCAACAGGGCCAGATTAATGTATTACACCATGTCATGGCCTTCAGTTCCCAGTGAGTTACAAGTATCTTTGGTTTGTGCATGTGCAGGAACAGCATCTTCTTCCCAGGGTGTGAAGCAGGATGTCCTGGAAAAATCCTTCCCTCTCCCGCCTCAAAACAACCAGAGAGGACTGTGGCCTTTAGGGAATGGCTGGTGAGCCAGGAAGTTATGGCTGAGCATAGTGTTCTTTAATCTTTATACTTGGCTTTGTTTATTGTAGTTTTTAAGGCCTTACGGAGAAGTAAGGGACTCTCTATTGTTTTCGTGTACTGACTTGCAGAGGGAGTGTGCAACAGAGGTGCCTCCTGCTTCCATTGTGCTTGCAGTCTGAGAATGAAGGACTCGCCATGATAAGGAGAAGAGGCAGTTCCTTTGGCTGCACTTCTTCCATGTCCCTGTGTCGCATACCACTGAACATTTAATTACCGCATTGCTGTGACTTAAGTGCCGGCTGCCACCATGTGCTCGGCCTCCTGGAATGTGACAAGTACTCCCAAAGCAGATTTTATTTTACTCTGCCATTCAAGATAATGCTGAAACCATTAATTTTTATTTTGGTTTTAGTGCTTTGGTAACTTTATGAAGCACTTTAGCTAATTATTGAAGGACAGAGTGTGTTCTCCTCAGAGCTACAGAAACTTCAGATTTTATGATCTGAGGCTGTTGAACAAGCAAGTGGGAAAGTACACAGAACCTCAAACCCTAAATGGCTGTAATTCAGAGTGAAGAAGCTAAGAAAGTTGAAGGAAATGAAGGGTTGTGAATTCAGTAATAAGCTGCCAGTCTTTAGCAGTTGTTTCTACCTATGTGATTGTTGAAGGGATGCTGTAGATAGGGCTATATTTAAGTCCTGTGGTTTTACTGAAGCTGGGATTACAGTTGATATGCATCAGGCTTAAGTAGTCTGGTGGGAATTACTGTTCATCAAACTGCCTTTTTGGAGTTGGTTGCTGTTCGGTGCCATTGAGCTCCCTGGCTCCTGGCAGCTCAGTGGCCACTCCAGCAGTAAAGCATTTCTGAATGCAGGTTGATCCTTGGAGCTGTTTCTAGCTTCTCCTATATTCTAAGTGGGCCAGAAGGTTTCAGGGAGTTTCACTTCACCTGTCTGGCCAGGAACTGCAGCAGAGCACAGCAAGGCACTGCGCTGCATCTGGTTGGGAGTTACAAGCCTTCCAATTAAACTCAGTTCTGGCGTAAAGTGTAGAATCTCCTGAAACCAAACATAAGTGAGATAATCGATTCAGGTGTGAGATGTGGTCAAACTGTATTGCTTGGACTAAAACCTACAGCTTGATTTTGAAATGGGATAGAAGGGAGAAGGAGCAGACAAGTTGGTTGAGATTTGAAAGACTGAGGGAAGTTCTGAGGTTTATAACCTTATACAACTGCCAGATTGATTCAAAGATGAAAAGATGGTGGAAGTCACTGGCAGGTTCTGAATAGCCCACTGATCTAGATATTCTGCCCCTTGAAAGCCCTGCACCTGGCTCTGGCAGGGCTTGTCCAGTCAATGGGCAGCTTCTGCCAGTGATGAATAGTTGGGAGTGATCTTTTGGGAAATTAGAGTTCCATCTCTCCAGGTTTTTTATTATTTTTAAATATAATCTTTCTATCAAGGAATGGGTGAATGCTCAGCAAATTTGGCCTGAAACCTCCATTCATCTCTCCTAGCTCTGATGATGACATGAGATAAGCCACAGACTGGAGTAACTGGGGGGTTTGCAGAGGAGGCATGCATGGCACAGCCGGTTCAACACATTGTCATTAGAACTGATGACTCTCAATCTGTACTCCTCTTCCCCAGTTATACTTAACGTCCAAGTAACATTGGATTCATGTAACCCAGTACGGCAGTTAGATCCCATTTTTATATTTTTTGGAGTTGTCGCTAAAAACATAGGTTTCTGTCAGATGCACATTTACTGTCATGATGACCACTGTGTGCTGGCACAACTGCTCTTGTTCCTCGCGAGCAAAGGCTCCACAGTTTACAGAATTGGGGGGAACATAGTCTGCTGCTTTCACTGTCAAGTTGAGCATCTAATGAGTTGGATTTTAATCAAAAACTGATTTTTCAGTCTGACATATCTTTGACCCAAAACATTAGAGATTTTCTGATGACTCTGTGCCATGACCCCTTGGAGTCCTCTCTGGTTATCATACTTGGGCATCTTTGACTCAGCCAGCAACATATGTAGTAGGCTCTACTAAATATTTTTCTGAATGTTCTTACAGTATAAAACGCTAGAGGTTTTTTAATGCACTGACATGAAGAGAGTTCTCTTTTTTTTTTTTTTTTTTTTTTTTTTTTTAAATAAACCCTTCTGGGATTTAATCAGTTGCTCCCAGCTGGGCAAGGAAAGGCCTAACAATGGGAGGTTATATCCCATGTCATCCTCTATGGAATGATCAACATCTCAAGTGATTGTAGCTGCACAGAGAGTCCCACCAGGCAAATTGTCATACTCTAACAGAGGCTCCTGCCTGGTCATACAGACTATCCAACAGTAATTTAATGTGGCAAGAGAATGAGAATTTTTACTTAAAAGCTGAGCTTTATTAATCGGGTAGACAGGAGTTCACCTTAGCAAAAGGAAAGGTGGAACAAAGCGGTCAGACTCACATTGCTGTGCTTTTTGGCTCTCTGTAGTTGAGCTGCTTGCACTTGATACTTTAATCGGTAAATCCTCTTGTAGCCAAGCACTTGATAAAGTGTCTCAGTATAAGAGGAAAAATAAAGGCGTGTGAACACTTCAGCAACACCCAAGCAGCTATGTGAGCTGTGGACAGCATGACTTCTGTCTGGCTTTCGTTTGTGTGTGGGATTTGCAAAGCTGCCAGAGGGTCCAGACCTTCTGTCGGGAGCATCTCAAGAGTCTTGGTAGAGGAATATGGAACCTAGTAATACATTTTATTTATTCATGTAGAACAGAAAAAGTAACAACTTTTAAATGGCTGCTGATGTTCTTCTACCTGAATGGTTTATTGAATTTATCTTTCTCATTCTTATTGCCCTACTTCTTGCTCTCGAGTGATTCAGTTTAGCATGCTCCCACCAAAATTCAGGGCTTTGGTTTTTTTAGTTACAGTCTGCATGAAGTGGGGACAGCAGGGAGAGGAAGGAGTTTGACCAGAACTCTCCTGTCTCTTGCTGGTCATTAGAAACTTCAGGTGAAGTTACCTCCTGATGGAAGCCTGAAATTGAGAGCACTACCAGTCTCATTCTTAAAATCTGGCTCTAACTGTTCTGGAGGTAAAGTGTTTGGGACGTTCCAGTGAAAAATATTCTGACAGGATTAAAAAAAATAATTTCTGTATGTTACTCAGCTTTAATGTGGCATGCAACTTTTAGTGTTTCCCACCCATCCCTCATTGTCAGATTTCAGTCTCTGAGCTTGTCATGAATGTTACAATTCTTAATTATGTTGTCTAAGTCCTTATAGTTACACTTGTTGAAGTTATTTACTCACTCAGTTTTTCAGACCAGTAACATCACTACTGCTGTGGTTGGTTTATCAGCATTTTTGCAAAACAGTTTGTGCATCCAGAGCATTTCTTTAACTCCCTGGGTTTTGAGATTGCCTCACACATCAGTGCCAAAGGCAAAAGAAGGTATATTTCTTTTTTTCTTCCTTGTTTTGCAGTTGTCGGAAATAAACCAGTTGAAATGCACAGCTCCAGAGTTGTTTGTAACCAGGCATCTCTTGGCACGTAAAGCTGCCTGGCTTTCTTACACATAAAGTTTTGCCCCAACATCAGGACTTATTTATAGTTGATATCCAGGACAAGAAGAAGTCAAAGAGAAAGTGATGTTTCCTAGGGAATGAGAAGCCCTTGCTTGGCACTCATGAATTACAAGGCTGAACTTTTTTATGTGTGTCTCCTCCTCCTTTTGCTCTGTTTTGTTGCTGCCTCCAGTAACATTTTTCCTGACTATAGTACCATTGACTCCTGTGATAGTTTAATAGTTTCTGCTGTTTACACAGTTGTCACTTAAATTGTTGTGATTTAAATTTGCATGCAGAGCTGGTAAGTCCTCAGAGTTTACCGTGGTACCCCAAAGGTAATTTGTATTCTGGTTGCTGGAGTTGTCTTGGTTACACTTAGGTGACTGGAAACCATTTGAAGAGGGGAAGTTTAATTCTGATATTGCTCATCAGTCCCAGTTCTGGTGGTGACAGGCTGGATGGTGTTTGGTAGTTACAAAACCTTTTAACTTTAACTTGTAACCATAGTGGTTTGAGAGTCTTACCTGTGCTGCTATTTAAAGGAGGGGCTGGAGGAACATGTGAAAATGATTTCTTTGCTTGTTTCTTGATTTCTGACATGCTGAGTTTGGGGATGCTGTCCCTCCTGTTGGAGACAGAATTCTAACCCTCAAATCTCACTTTTTGATTTTGATGCTACTTTTTAGTTTCTAGAGGATACTCATTAGCTGGGGGCTATAGATCATTCACTGTACTGCAGTGGTAACTACACAGTATTGCCAGTATATATGATGTAAAAGAAATAAAAAAAACACAAACCACCACATTGAATTAAAATTGTACATATAGATTAATGTTTTTAGTGTATGTTAGTGTTGTGGACCCAGAAAATTACTGAAGTATTGCAAGTTTAGAACTCCACTTCTTGTTAAGAAGTAACTAGCATTTAATTCTGGCAGTCCTGGATAGAAAGCGTTGGTACTTTATCACTTACAAGGACCCAGTACAGAATATTTAATGCTGAAAAAGAGAGAAAGCACAATGAAACAGTCATCTTGGAGATGTTTTCATCGTTGGTGATCTCCTGTAAATCCATTCTTACGAAAATCACAGTGACAGAAGACTTAATCAGGAGCCAAATATTGATGCAAACCTGCATTTCTGGGCTTCATTTGGTAAAATATACCTCTTCTGTAGTACATTTCAATCTGGACTAAAATAATGCCAGTGCACTATTGCAGCACATCTTGGTGAAGGAGGCTTTTTAGAGCTAATCTGAATTGGAGTAGCAGCAATGACTTCAGAGCAGATAAGCCATTTCTCACACCAGCTGAGGGCATGGTGCAGACAGGTTGGGCATTTGGAATTACAGACTGAAATCTGTGGAGCTGCTTGTGCATCATGCAAGAAATGTTTTCTCTTTTTTTTTTTTTTCTTTCTTTCCTATTGTGAATGAACCACAGGAGAATAAGGCTAAAATCCACTTTTGTATTGCTGGAAGAAAGCTATTAGGCTTTGATAGCGGCTTATTTTCACAGACTTTTCTCCTTTTTATGTCTCATTAAAGATGGTTTCCATAGGTTTTACATAGGTAAGTCACTGGCCTCATGGAAAATAAAAAAAAAAAAAAAAAAAAAAAAAAA